CTGGCGGAGGCATGGCGAGGGCAGGAAAACCCAGAGCGGGACTCTGGGGAGGCATGGCAAGGGCTGGAAATCCCAAAGCGGAACTCTGGCGGAGGCACGGTGAGGGCTGGAAATCCCGGAGCGGGAGTCGGCTGAGACATGGCGAGGGCTGGAAATCCCGGAGCGGGACTCTGGGGAGGCATGGCGAGGGCTGGTAATCCCAGAGCGGGACTCTGGCTTAGGCACGGCGAGGGCTGGAAATCCCAGAGTGGGAGTCAGCTTAGGCATGGCAAGGGCTGGAAAGCCCGGAGCGGAATTCTGGGGAGGCATGGCGAGGGCTGGAAATCCCGGAGCGGGACTCTGAGGAGGCACGGCGAGGGCTGGAAATCTCGGAGTGGGACTGTGACAGTGGACAGGAAGGTTATCTTATTCTAAGTTAATGTGAATGGCGCCATGTATGTACGGTGAAGGTACGTACTTTTCACTGTATTTTTACATTGAATACACGTGACAATAAATGATTCAATTGAATTCAAAATAAATTTCTGTGCCTCCTATCTTTGTGTTAGCTAAGATTTAAATTATCTTTGCTGTCATCTAAGTTAGTAATGTACATGGTGAAAAGCTAAGGCACAAGTACAGATCCTTAGGAGACATTACACATCACAACTATCAAGTGGCAAACATTGCCTTCATCATTGTCATCTCTCCCCTCTCCAGTTCCTGACTCATATCACCACCAGTTCCATGGGTTTTCATTTTCACTGTGTGCAAACCTCTGGAAGTCCCCACAGAGAGCATCCAGCGAGATCTTCCTGTCCACCATGCTAGTACACTACAAATGTTCAACTAGATTTGGCAGACATTACAGGCTCTTCATAAATCCAAACCAACTCATTAATCATGAACACAGGCCCCAGAGGTTAACCGCATTATGCCAAACAAATTCTAAGAAACCTGCCCATAACTGATAAGGGATTGACTGGTCTATCGTTACCCAGTCACACTCTCTTTTCAATAATGGAGGGACATGTTTCCAAATCTTTAATCCAAATGCATCATTTCAGAATCTAGAGAGATTTGGAAAATTCAGAAATGTGCGCCTACAATTTAAGCACCCATTTATTATACACATATGTGGTGGAAAGCATCAGGTCCTGGTAATGTGTTTATTTTAGGTCCCGCTATTCTCCTATTACTATTTTGTAACTAATATTAGGTCTGTTGAAGTACCCCCAATGTGTTTCTTTCAGGTTTCCTTCTATCTAAAATTATGTCAATGGCAGAAATGTAGTGGGTTTGATCCTATACACAGTAGAGTCTGGGTTAGGTAGCCAATTCCAGGTGGAGCACTGTTTGGTAGGAGAGACTAGGACCTGAAGGCACAGTCTTGGAGTAAAGGAAGTGTTTTTAGAACGGAGATAAGGAGAAACTTCTTCAGCCAGAGAGTGGTGAATCTATGCAATTCACTGCCATAGAAGTCATTGACTATATTTAAGATGGAGATAGATAGGTTCTTGATTGTCAAGGGGATCAAGGTTTACGAGGAGAAAGCAGGAGAACAGGGCTGAGAAACTTATCAGCCCTGATTGAATGGCGGAGTAGACTCAATGGGCTAAATGGCCTAATTTCTGCTCCCATGTCTTATGGTCTTATTGTATGTAGGCTTTCTTAAGTCTAGTCCAATTGAAATAGCCCAAACAGTGCTCCAACTGGAATCAGCTACCTAATAGTCACCAACTCACCTCCAGTGCTTGAATCAGGAAAACTTCTGAAATGATCTGTTTGACTATGTCTGGAAGACAGAAACATGTTTGAGATGGCACATGGAGATAGCTAGTTTGGGTCACTTACTCAGTTTATGAGGCTTCATCATTTAACCTACCATCCCACACTAAGGTTCATATTTAAAGTCATCTGACTCATCAATCCCTGGAACAATTAGGCAACAATGGCAGCAATAATACCCATAGTCCTGTGTGTCCCAGAAACCACTCTGTCCACCATGTACAAAAACAAAGTTGCTGGAAAAGCTCAGCAGGTCTGGCAGCAACTCTGAAGGAAAAATCAGAGTTAACGTTTTGGGTCCAGTGACACTTTCTCAGAACACTGTCTATCCCAGGCTTTCCCAGCAAATGCCTGGATGCCATGCCTGTCCAGGGAGTCTTTCATGGGGACAGAGTACGGGGAGCTTTACCCTATATCTAACCCCATCCTGTCCCTGTCCTGGGTGTGTTTGATGGGGGACAGTGTAGAGGAAGCTTTACTCTGTATCTAACGCCGTACTGTAGTTCAGGAGTGAGGATAATTTACCCTTCAACTTCCAGCAGACGACGATAGGTGTCAATCTCAGCTTGCAGTCTCATCTTGGTGTTGAGGAGGTTCTGGTACTCCAAATTCTGAGCTTTCAGTCTGCTGTGGCTATCAGCGAGCTGCTCCTCCAGGTGCTGGATGGTCTGGTTCAGGGCTTGTAGCTCTGCAGCCAATCGCTGATCAGTGTCCTCCAAAGTGTCTTCAAGGGAACTGATCTGATGACAGGAGAATGATTTAATAACAACAGCTTGTATTTATGTTGCATACTTTAACTTGTAAAATGTGCTTCTATAAGCATTATCAAAATCACTGAGCAAAATAAGGACATGTGTCAAAAAGCTCATTCAAAGACAGAAGGTTGAAGGAGGAAAGCAAGATCAAGGAGGGCAAGGAGAGAATTCCAGAGCTCGGGGCTAAGGCAGCTTAAAATATGACCGCCAATGGCTGAGATTAAAATCAGGAATGTTCAAGAGTCCAGAATTGGAGGACCACAGAGAACGCAGAAGGTTGAGGGGTTTGGAGGGGAGTACAGATACGGACAAACAAAAACAAAGTTGCTGGAAAAGCTCAGCAGGTCTGGCAGCATCTGTGAAGGAAAAAACAGAGTTAACGTTTCAGGTCTGGTGACCCTTCCTCAGATAGGGAGGGGCAAGCTCACAGAGGGATTTGAGAACAACAATAACAATTTGAAAAACAAGGTGGTCCTTAACCAGGAGCAGCAGAGGGAGTGATAGATGCGCGGGGCTTGTTATGAGTTAAGATAGGCTCCTGCGATCAGTAAGGAGCTTGTTCACCAGACTCTGTTAGCAGATGTTCACTCTGCCAAAACCAAAGAAACCCCTTGCTCATGTGCCAGTCACACTGCCCAGGCTGAGTTTGAGCCAATGGTACGAGGGAAGGTTTACACCCAATGACCAGCTGACAGAACAGGCTTTCATCAACTCTCAGTTTCCTTGACACAGAACAGAACTAACGTACTTGCTCCATTCGATCTGAAATCTGTAAAGTTGATGAGAACAATTGTGACGGGACTTACTTTAAATTGTTCACTGGATGTGGGTGTCACTGGCTGGGCCCAGCATTTATTGCCCGTCCCTAGTTGCCCCTTGAGAAGGTGGGGGTGAGCTGCCTTCTTGAACCGCTGCAGTCCATGTGCTGTAGGTAGACCCACAATGTCCTTAGGGAGGGAACTGAAGCAGCAACAGCGAAGGAACGGCGATATATTTCCAAGTCAGGATGGTGAGTGGCTTGGCGGGGAAGTTGCAGGGGGTGGTGTTCCCATGTATCTGCTGCCCTTGTCCTTCTAAATGGAAGTGGTTTGTGCATTTGCTGTATGAGAATCTTTGGCAAATTTCTGTAATGCATCTTGTAGATAGTACACACCGCTGCTACTGAGGGAGGCTGTGGTGAGGGAGTGAATGTTTGTGGATGTGGTGCCATGAGAGAGTGTGGGGTTTGAAGAGACAAAGAGAGGTTGGGAGGGAGAGAGAGAGAGAGGGTGGGGGAGGGTGTGGGGTGAAGAGCAAGAGAGAGAGAGAGAGAGAGAGGAAAGGTTGAGGGTGAGAAAGAGAGAGTGGATTCAGTGCTGAACACTGATAACAGATACTGCTTTCCTGACTGTGCTTGAATTGGGGGCTTACCATGGCCATCAAGGAGCGTTGCTCAACCTCCAGGTTTTTGATCTGGCGCCGGATATTGGTCAGCTCATTCTTTGTTGCTTGAAGAGCTTCGTTATTCTTTGAAGCTTCAAGAGAAGCAGCATCAAACTGAGCAAGAATGAGAACAGGTTTTAATTATATAACTGGATACACATTACGAGATAACACAGTAACATAAACTCACACATACACATACACATACACACACAGACACACACATATATACAGGGACACAGACACACACACATTCACACATACACACACACTCACACATGTGTGCGCAGACACACAAACACAGATACA